CAGAACAGTTATTAGAACGACTCAAACAATGAACCCTTAATATTTTCTGGTCTCACATCAAGAAAGCCGCCATTGATGTAACGTTCCGACTGTCAATAAACAGATTTATATCACTTCAAAAGCATGGAACAGCCTTTAAGTATAATGCCTAATAATGCCACTAAAGCTATTCTATTTTCCCGTGAATAAAAGAAACCAGTAAATAGCTAAGCCCTGCAATTTACTAAGTTGACCTTTGTATGAACTTCAAAATTTTATGAAAGTGATGAAATATGAGAATTTAGCAGACAACTTCTTGGAAGAAAACACTACCATAGTGTCTTTTGTGCAGCCCTATTATGAAGCTGGTACCATCAGTTCGGTGTAGACCAATCCTTACCTTGTAACTAGTGCTAAAATACTTCTCTGGTGCAGCTTTGCACTCAGGGTAGCACTGTGGGAACACTGTTGCTAGGCTGATGAGTATTTTCAATTATGATAATTTCTTAGCAAAGCAGCTCTGCAGTTTGAAATAACATTCCCAAAAAGAAAAAAAAAAAAACAAGGAGTGAAAAATAGATCCCTAAAAGCCACTTGAATAAGCATACACAACTCTTAATCTGAGCACAACTTCGTTGCTGCTTTTTGCTTTTTTTTGCCCAGTATACAAACATCCGCACAAAATTTACATGCCTGAGCAAATGTACATATCTAAACGGAGCACCAATAGTACTACTTATCCATGTAGTAGCTTGAGTGATAAGTAAATCTGCCAAGATGATACAACATATCTTTCAAATCTACAGCAGACTCTTCAGCAGAAGGCAAACAATCATTCTAGACATATGTGTTGCCTTCCAAACTAAACATTGAATATGTGAAATCACTGCCGTTTATATTTGCGCCTGGGCACTACATATTAAAACTGCTTACAACAAATGAGGTTCCCTGCATAAAAACGCTGCAATATCGAAGGTGATACTCTGCTTGGTACAAGTGTATTTTATTAAACAATCAGGGGCCAGTAGCAAGAGGGCTTCAAGAAAAGTTGTGCTGTAAATTGTGAGAACAGAAGAGTGAAAAAGAGTATGAGCAAGTTACATAAAAAAAGGGGGGGAGGAGAGGCAAAAGGAACGGGAGAAAATCACATCATTTATCGTGTTGCAATGCACATGTCGGGACTATTTAAAACATTGTCTGCATTTGACTTCAGTGTACCAATCATAAATGGAATGTGTGAGGATCGTAGAAAATAGCTCGCTCCATATTTGTGTAGTGTTAGTGCCAATTTCGGACTGTGTTTGCATCGTTTTCCAATCCACGAAAACTTTGTTCTGTGAGAGAGCAACACATCGCACATCCTGAAACAATCGCTATACGAGTGTGGATTACTGGCTATGGAGCACAACGACACAGATTCTATTCTTGGCCAAGCCACATTCAAATGGCGGAATGCAAAATTCTTCATGTACTTAGATTTAGGTGCACAATTGAGACCACAGGTAATTGAAAGTTGTCGTTAAATGATTATATCTTCAAACATAAATCTATCACCATAGCTTGATTCGATATTTGCCTTTAGTGTCCCCTTCCCATTAAGAATGTGAACTACTCTTGAACAAAAAACTTGCACCCTCTATTGTCAACAACCAAAAGTTCGCCTGTACGACAGATCCTAATGTGGACTCTAAATAATTAATATTACAGTGTTTTTCAGAGTTCGCCAGAGACTGAAAAAAAAACACAACAAAAAACACTATTTTCTTGGTTACTTATCGGGCTTAATACAGCAATTGCGTGTACAGTTAAAAGGAGAATATTAGTTAGAAAAATTTTACAAAAAGAAAGTAAAAAAAAAACATGCAATTAAGAAAACTGAAGATTTAAAAAAATGCTCATGCGTCTACTGAAGTAATTACAAAGAAAAAAAAAGGAATAGTAACACATAAAAAGAGATACTTAACTGTGTATGGCACAAACTAATCAAACTGGCTGCATAATACAAAGAGCGACAAGGTGAGGAGTGACGATCTCTCAGCAAAAACACAAAATTAAGAGAAACAATTGCACATTGTTCGAAACTCATTTTATAGTAGATTGCTGCCCGTATGGCAGCACAGCTGTGAAGGAATAACGGAAGCACTTCTAATGTTGAAATGAACGAAGCAAAGCACTTTAAGAGGGAAAAGAGGGCTTTGGATACCTAAGAGAATGCAGCCCGATAACTAGTATTAACTAGGTACATTTCATATTAACAAGAGTGATGGAGCTCGAATTAGAAGGTGTCAGAACTGAAGCAAAACGAACAAAATATAAGACGGAAACCTTCGGCCTATTTACTCTTTTCAGTCTAATATTCTAAATCTGTGGAACGATGTTCACAAGAACGATACTCTTTCCATAACGAAACTGTTAGGTGAGAGTAAGGCACAAGACTATAACAAGAAGTTAAAAAGATGGGATCGACTAATGCGAACCACATACGCTTCTTTCTTCCATGGCAATTTACAAGCAGCTTCAGCTGTCCAAACAAAATGCGATAAAGCAGGCTGACCACGCACGACATGTATACTTTGCATGTTGTGTTGTACATTGTACGCAATCGCACATTAAGCAGTGTTCATCCAAAATCGTGTCTTTTTTTTTTCTTTCGTATAAGCAACTTAACAATGCCAGTTGCCATTGAAAATGAGAAAAAGTAGTTGAACCGTGAACTATCTTGTACTTTGCCCATGGTTGTGAATGGCTATTTCTATTTGTACAAGCTTAATTGTCTAAGATCTGTGGACACTACTAGCAACGTTGCAGGCCTAAAATGCCTTGAAGAGAACATTGTAGATATGTCAATTTGAAAAACAGGCCGGGCCCACAGACAGACAGACAGACAGATTTTCAAAGAATGGAAAAAAACAAACAAACCATCACGCTAAGTAAGATGACAAAGAAACTGGGAAAACACAACAAAACATACAGCATCAACACCAACCTCAGCGTAATATATATATGACTGTAAAAAAAAAGGAAAGCTAAGGGTGAACATCACTTGGAATAGATTACTTTTTATGAGCATGCATTATACTTGTGAAAGACCGCACCAGAGGCTAACACAAGCCAAAAGAGAGCTGTCATTCCGTTCACACACTTTTGCAAGAAAGCTCAGTGAACTTTTGACAAAAAAAATTTGCACCGGCTACTTGAGACACACAGAAGGTAAAACGCTGAAACAAGTTCTGTTCCCCTTTGGTGCCCGTACTACCACACACCCTTTGATATGTGGAAAAAAGAGTGACCAGTATGAATGCCACGCACATCAGCTATATAATCCCCAACAGCAGACATCAAGCTGAAGGTGTCGAAATCAACATCCCATTATTTATGTCATTTTGCTCCAATTCCAGCACTGCTTTGCTTTCAGCACGAAATGGTATGACATGTCCAACAGCACTACAACCAGTAAGGACATTGTGCACAATACAGATTCTTGAATGTTCAGCATGGCATTTTTCTCTTCGTGCTGGCATTGTTGGACATTATCTATTCTGTCTTTTCTCTCACTCTTTCTCATATATATATATTCGACAAAGACAAAAAGTGAAGATAGAAATGTGTGTTGCTCCGTGCCCAAGCTCTACCAAAGGATAGGGATCAAATTGACTGCATAACTCTATCCCAGCACCTAGACCCCCCCCCCCCCTTCCCCCTCCGTGCAAGAATGTCTCAATTTCTTTTCTTGCACAATATATAAACAGCCTTTTGCATCCGTTTATTTCTCACTTTCCTGCAATTAATTAATGCCAAAAACAAGAGGAAAGAATCTCAACGAGCTGTGCATATCACAGGAAGTGAGAATTAGTGAGAGGGTAAAAGAGGGTAAAGCATGGCTGTCATGTCGCATCCCCACCACGCTGCACATACGCCCACACTAGACAGCCTATCAGATGAGGCTTTGGTACGCCAAAACTAGAATCATAATACTAAACAATAACATTATATCACCAGAGGTCGTACCTTAGTTACACAGCCACCACACGAAACAAAAAAAAAAGCAATCAAGTAAAGTCAAGAACACAAAGTAAAACGCAGCGAAACAAAGGAATGCATCAAATAGAGAGAGAATATGCAGATTTCCTTTTTTTCTTACTTATGGAGCCAAATAAAGGAATGTCTTCATATTGCTGTAACCATCCTGCACTCCTGAGACAGGTACATCTGACTATTCAAAGAGCACGTTCCATGTAAGCAGAACGTACGCACAAATGGAAGTTCAGTGTGGCTGAATACAAGCTAACTAGTGCAAAAACCAAACCCAATGAGCTGTGTATTCATAATAAGGCCTTTCTGAATTATGAGATTTACTCATACAATAGTGTTACTATATGCCATCTCTACAGAAGAACGACATCATTCTATGCTCAAGTTGCTGCACTCGCTTAATGAAAGAATCGCGCATAAGATCCCAAATTTCAACGTGCAGGTCAATGTTAGTTAAGTGCACTTTTTTAAAGCAATCCTTATCTGTTCCAGCGGAAATTTGTAGGTTGACTTAGGAGTTGATTTTTCATTGTAAACATTGCAAACATACTAATATAAAGAACCCTTCCAGTGCAAAACCTGGGCAAACGTCTCCCTAGTCAGATTTGTCATGTTGCTAATGAATGATGCTAACGTGCCTATAATTTCAAAAGTTTTTTCTTTAAATCCTTATTTGAATTGGAGTGTCACTGTCAAGCTCAAATTAAGTTGTGCATGTTACTGAACTTTTGCTTAAGTGCAAAAGTTCGACGCTGTCAAGCAACAAGGGCCAATTTGTCCGTTATTCGCCGCAAATATGTACGAAAAGAATGATAGGAGCCACGTCTCGATTGCTCTAGAGATGTGCACATTAAAAATCACAGCACGGTACCAATTTCGCGCTTTATGCAAATGAAAAGCTGCTCCGCAGCAGCTGATGCCGCGTCAGCCACAGCACTGTTGATTTCATCACAGAAAAAGAATACCTTCAAGGCACCCTGAGGCCAAACTAAAAATAATGTTAAAATTTATTTCACAATTCCATATCTCAGTCCTTCATTCCCTACACTGACATCCAACTATGCACACATTTGTTGCAATTACTTTAAGCACGGCTTATATTGATCCTTTGCTGCGCCCAATTTCCAAGACATATTATGGCCATCAAATGGTCACGCAGAAACAAACCTGTGCAATTCACGTGTAAGCATGGTAAAACCTCTAGCATGCAAGCAATGCACTTTACTAGACGCAACTGGCATATGAAGTTGCTAAACAAAATAAAAGCGTCAGGTCTGCAGAGCAACACATAACACAATGCAGCTTCACTTCAATCCCTTGAAGTCAATGCCGTACGCAAATGCAGCTAATAGCGAGGTACAAAAAAAGAAAAAAAAAAATCACGGGAGTAGGACACCGTGGACAACTAAGAATTTGACACTGCATAGCTATCCATTCAACATATGCACAAAACTCTATAAAGAAAACCATTCCCATTTGGTTTTTGAATTCTCGAAAAGCAGCATAACTCAAAAATGCCACTCACTGATGCTATGGCCAACTTCAGCTATGCTATTGCATTTGCACAATCATTCCCCTATATAAACCTATGGGGCGGGGAAGCACGCTAAAGATTACACACAGGGACTAGTTGTAGACAAGCAAAAATGTTCAATCAGAAAAAAAAGAAGAAAAAATACAAACTTAAAGGGTCATGAGCACTGCCACGACTAGCTCTGCACTGATTATTTTCCTTTGATAAAACGCGAGCTCACAGATTCAGTGACAGAGCCAACGCAGGCATTTCTTATCAACTGTCGAGGAGTACACCCACAAAGCTGCACTGGCGCAAATTGTCATTTCAGCAAAATGCAGGTAATGCGACCACCAAAGAACCCGCTTGCGGTGGAATGCATTGTCACGCCTCCCACTACTCCGGAGGCCATGGAGGCAGCGGAAACAGCAGCGGCGACTGCACGTGCACTCTAGGCTCGCTTTGGACGGCAGAAAGAGTACTTTTGCCGCCTGCTGCTTCCGTTTTTTAGGGATGATACGTGTGGTTAAAACGGGATTGCCACAACTGTGAGGTCATATATCTTTGTTGAAAACAATCACATCATGACAGAAAGCCTACGCTCTTGGCCTCCAGCAAATCCCAATGAAACAAAATGCAGTGGATACACTGCAACAGCACGAGCAATTCATTTTAAAGCAAAGCCTATAGACAAAAACAGATTTGAACGACTAAACTGAGATTGCCGGGATAAGGGCCACAGTGAAGTGGTAACTATATACCACTAGGACGCTTGTGTTACTATGATAAAGAAAGTAGAACAAGGCATAAACAACAAAAAGAAAAAATAAATTGGCTGAAGGCTCCTTAGTACACAAAACTAAAGAGAGCCAAAGGAGGTACTAAAAAAAAAAAAAGAAAGATATTGTGCATGCATACTCATCTGCATAGAACCGTTCATAAAAATAAACATCTACATCTGCAAGAAACACAGCAGATCAATTGCTTATACATATACCCTAGAGGGCAATTAAGAGTACTTTTAGAAGCCACAAAACACTGGATATCCTAACAAAAAAATCGGGCTCTCTTTTGGTGGTTGAAGCAAAGCGGGACCCAAATGTGTAGCTTCCAGCACGCCAAGTAAGTGTATACTTCGATGAAATTTCACAGCATCTTGCATTCGTGGTGGCCATTCTCGTGCAAGGACTTACAAAATGAAAAATGCGGGAACCTCCAGTGACACTCCTTACGGTGAGCAGGCCCACTTATATATCATGGCACCACATTCCGCAAAGATTGGTTGCAGGCAGAACAAAGAAAGCAACCTGAGCAGTAACGAAACAAGAGAGCCTTCGGTCGGCTGGCCAAGGGCTCAACGTTGTGCTGTCGAGAGCAACATTATCCTGCCACCCAGCGCCGCAAATCCCAACAGTGATAGTGGCTAAGCAAGGGCCCCAGTGGCCTCCTTGCTCGGACCGTAACCATTGATGGGGAACAGCGTGGGCAGCAGGAACCGTCAGTAGTACTCAGAGTCCGAACTCTGACAGGGCTCGGAACAATCGCGGCTCTCGGCAGAGGACGGGCGCGCCCCCGTGTGGTGGTTGGCTTGGTCGCTAAACAGCTCGGAGAGATGGCCCCCCTGTCTGTACAGGCTGCTCCCACCTGCCAAAATGCAAGAATAATGATTTCAGTGGACAGCATGCATGTGTAATATTGTGAAAAAATCATGTCATAATATTATAGAGTTGAACTCCATTATAAGGAAGTACCACGAAGCAGTTCTTGTCCCTTACAAGATGTGTCTCCAATAAGTGGGTTACTACATTCGCATCTTGTATCAATATCTATTTTGATGTAGGCAACGGAGCAAGAAATGAGGTGCAACTCCCATTAAAACAGGTGTCTGTGGGTGTCCAGATAATGTCACAACAATAAGCATGCGCTGAGAGACTCACTTCAATTGCAAAAACCTGCAAAACAGCTTTCCTGCAAGGTTATTTTTAAACCAAAAACTCCCTTACACAGCCTGCTTTTTTCGCTCATTGTGCTTTTGCCGCTCCTAATTCCAGTGAAGGCATACAAGTACGAAAAAACTACCTTTTTCCCTAACAATTGCTACGGGGTTGTGCTGCCTCGCACGAACCCTCAGCTTAGGATCGCCTAGTGGACAAGGCACCTGTCGTTCATAAAGAAAAGGGTGGGGTTGGGAGCGGAACGCAAAAACGACATGAGCTAGAAAAGCAGTCTGCGAACGAGAGTTTTTGGTTGGGAAACAACCTTGCAGGAAAGCCATCTTGCAGATTTTCGCAAATAGTCAGTTGGCGGCGCTTGGTGAGAGAACTGCAACTATGGTGCAGAAAAACAAAAAGTGGAAAAAGAAGAGAGAGAGAGAGGAACCGTGAATGATTGCATGCGCCGTCTTCAGGTGAATATGCTCTGACGCACTTTTTGGCGGCGTTTGTGAGCAGATGACAGCACGGCGCTCCCGTCAGTAGGCACTTAAACTTTGTCCTTTTTTATGCATTTAATTATTCTGGTGCCAGTATCAGAAAGCTTATGCCAGGAGTCTGACAGAGTAAGAACGAATGCAGCTAAATACGATCCATGCCCATGCTTTGTGTGACTACGGTGAAGTGGGAAGAACAAAAGCGACTGGTTCCCTCGGCAACCAAAACAACGCCAATTTCGTTGTCTGTTGCCAGATGCCACCACCATGATGTGGCTCTCTAAGAGCGTGAAGTTTTCTGGATGACTGAAATAGTGGAGTTGACTGCTAAATGTTCCTCACCTCGTGATATAGGCACACTGATGTCTCGTATACCCAACTGTCTCTTACATCCATGCTTCTTATAAAGGGGTTCAACTTAGTACATCAATGGTGAAAGCTGCCCAGGGGTGCAGCGACAAATAATCTCAAATAAGGAGGGAAAAAAAAAAGGAATGAGAGAAGGAAGGAGAAAATAAAATAGAAAGAAAACAAAAAATACTCAATATTACGAAGTTTTTCTAGGTATTTTCTTCTGGCAGCTGGGTGAGGTTCGAAAAACTGGCTGTCAGTACACGTGTACTCCTGTCAGTACACAGTAACTTGCCCGACTGTTTGGGTGGGACAATGTAGTGGTGGGCCAGCATATCATCAAAGTATGCCACCCCATTCAGCCGATCCTATGGAGAAAGGGGGGAAGGAAGAGTAGTCAACTAATCCCTCCTCGCCGAGGCGGGCTCCAGCAAGGGCTGCAGCAGATTGTGCATTATCCTTTTCTTCACCCCCATATTCCATTCCTGGTTGTTTGCTAAAGCTGTGGCTTAGCTGCACACATCCCGAGGGGGGGGCTCCGCTTGTCTTCCTAAGACCAGCCACAACCAATTTGGCTTTAGCTTGCAGCCTGAACTGCAAATACCATGCTGGTTCCGAGATTTCCAGATCCTCGGTGACCTCGAAAATGGCCCAGCTGCCTCCTTGTCTGCCTCGAGAGCCTTGCTGGCAGCAAACACAATGGCCTTTCTTGAGTCGAGCTCACAATGGCCCCTCTTGGCTCATGCGTTTTCTTTGTTGTTTCTTTGTTTTCTTTGCGAACCAGTCCCGAACCCCTCCTTTAGGTTTTGCCAAGAGGAAATCAACCCGTCTTGACGGCACACCCTTGCTTGGAATGCGTCGAAATATTTTCGTCCCGTTCACAAAGGCCGAAAAGCTTCAATAATGATGACGGTCGTAACAAAGCACAATGACCTAGGAATTTTGCCTAAAGTTTCGTCACATTGGCGCGACCATGCATCTTCTGCGGTTGTCCTGTGTCACAGGTCCCGTTAATTAGAGAGGCGATCGCCGGGCTAATTCCAAGGGCCGAAGTATCGGCCCCCCGAACAGCACCACGAAAGCGTGGACAATTTAGAAGTGGTCTTATTTGGCGCGCCAGCGGACGCCGGCTGTGGCCCAAAGAACAAGTCAGAGCTGAGAGTTGATAAACAAAACAAAATTCTATTCTCAATTATGGCAGATCAAAACGATACACAAGTATGCACACTCGACAATAGCTGATTACAATATGTCACCAATCAAACAACGCACTACGCAGTACAATCAGCCACACTCGAAACAACGGACACAGACAACAATACGCACTACAATGCAGTTGCATGCATCGAACAACCAAGACACTTAAAGACTGAAGAGTTAGAAAACGTATTCAGTCCAAAGTTCTTGGAATGAAAGTCTGAATGATACTCTTCCGAGAATCACTCACTCAAAGTTCAGCGTTGTTGTCGTTCCGTTGCCCCCGAAGTTTCTCTTCCAGAAAACCTCGGGTCTTCAATTGGCCGCTCTCCAAGCACGAAACTTCCTCGCCGGTAACACGTCGGCTTCCCACACGCAGTTGTTGCCACGCGTCTTCGCTCGCTGGCGGTAGACACACACTCTTGCCTGTAGCACGAGTCTTCACGCCTCAGGTGGAAATCCTCTTCTTCTCCTCCTTTGTCACGAAAGACAAAAGGCTTCGCCCACAAGGCGGAACACCCTACGCACTCTGGCGTGAAATTCCTTCTCCTGCTTTGTCACTGAGGACAAAACCTTCGCCGACAGACGCGGCGGGATACCCTACGCACTCTGTCGTTAACTTCCTTCTTCTCCTGATCTCTCATCTCGGCTGCTCGATTAAATACCTTCCGCGCGAGATTCCAGAAAGTTCTCATCATTTCGTTGGCGCGATACGCAGCGAAGTCTGGGGGAAAGGGTGAGGCGATACGGGGGCCGTCCGCGACGGATGACTCAATCCGGCATCACCACGCGCCTTTCCATCGAGAAATTTCCAGGGCTTGCTCGGCCGCCGATGCGAGGAGGTTTCGTCGGCGAACCTACGCTTACGAGGGGAGAGAGACGCGCGCCCGGGGAGTCTACGGATGCTTGTTTTCTTTTTTTATCGTTGACCTCGAGGCGTATTTCCGGCGCTTTGTCGCGAGAATTTGGCGGGGCGCCCTTTTTTTGAGCGCTCGTTTTGTGACATCCTGCCACTGACGAAGCGCGAAGCAACGGTGTCGTGCACAGCACGCTTCAAGCCCAGGTGACTGTGAGACTGTTATTGCGTGCAGATGTGCGCAAGGCTGGCCAGAGTGAGTGGGCCAGCAACCCTGTAGCCAGCGTTACCATGCGTCACTACAGGCACATGCATAGATGTGTCCTTTCTCTCCCTTCAAACAACAGGCTTTTGTGTTGGCAGTGCCACTTTTCAGTTGCTCCAGAAGCTTTTGAACTGTACTTCATGGAAGTGACACCAGGTGATGCCACTAAAAAAAAATCGTGCTTCGTGTCATTACGCTTCGAGTTCATGCTGCATATAGGAGACTGGTTTAACCACGGAGGAAGAACGGAATTTCCTCCATGGCTTTTCCGAATCGTATTCCGTGGCATCAGTGTCATTCGCTGTTCACTCTTTGTTTTTGGCACCGTACACGCATTCGTGGTTTCCTTGCATTGTTACGTTTGGCCCAGCAATTCGTCTGGGCAGACGCCATCGTGCATAAGCCGGTCTTCTGGGGAGGCTCTCAGCCCCTTCGGCGCCCAGTCTACCAGACGCTGTCGAAGACTTCGGCAATTACCCAGACCATGCGGCAAGCAACTGCGAGTTCCTGACTTTCAAATGCGGACCCTTTCGTCGTCCCTTCGAGCAGCAGCGGTGCCTGGTGACCTCGGTGACTCATCTGGCGAGGGGGAAGCTGTTGTGACCGGCGCCAGAGCTGACGGGGGAGCGGCGCTCCTTTTAATCCTCAATCAAGTAGCCGACTGGCCGGCTGCCAATGCCCGCCAGGCATTGTCCCTGCTAGCCGGAGGATGAGACGTCGTGTCGCCACGACGCCTTAAACCGTTCGAGAGAGGACAAGAATGACAGCATCTTCCTTGGAAGAGACCGTGGCGGCCCCCTCAAATCGCCCCGCTAATTGAGCGAACAGATCGGCGGACCCTTTGATGTATGCTGTCAGGAGCTTGGGACCTCTCGACTAGCGGCACACACACGACGAGGAAGAGCCCCGCTCGCGCCACCTTGCAGTGCAGTGATCGCGACTCAATATTGGACGTTCCCGTGGACCGCGCATGCTCGTCCCCCTCACCTGTTGTGTGCGTGTGATTGGTGTTCCAGTCAACGAGGAGGAGCCCGACACGGCTTAAAACGACGCCGCAGAGTGCTGGACGGCACTCTGAACTATGTAACGGTTCAACCACCACGCTCATGGGTTGTGAAACCCCTAACCTATCTTTTCTGTGAATATGTGTAAATAGTGCCATAAACTTGTTTGTTTTTCGTATCCTCTTGTTGTCAGCGTTCATTTCCTCCTTCGACCTGAACAAGTGGTGGCAGCGGTGAGATGCCATCACCAATTTCCTCCTTCGACCTTAACAGCATGCGCATGGAGTGGCCTCCGATGTCATCCAGTTTTGCAATATTTCTTTTCTTTATGCGGACAATCGTGTCATCACTAGTGAGGAGAAGTCAGAACTTTTGAAGCGGACTCATCAGGTACTTTGCTGTTTTGTGCCTGCGCTGTGGGTTCGCTAGACCGCAGACGTGGTGATTATTTCTAGCAACGTGCCGTCGCGTTGCCAGAGCCAGTCTCGGAGGCGGCTACGGATAGATGATGACGGAGCGTTGTATTGTTGGCCTAGGAACGCT